CTTCAGAACAATTGGCGGAGTGCATTTTTCAAACTGAAAAGCCTGCTTCTCAGCCATCCTTGCCTCTCCACGTTTCTTCTCTTTGGCAAAGACCAAAATTAAAACATGAAGGTATCATCATCTGTAGGAAATGGGTGTAACATCCTACTTTGGCACCCCTTACCCCCATTGTCTTACAGATCTACGGGCAGCCATTCTCCCTCGATGCAACAAGCATAACAAACTGCATTGACATCAGTTGGAGATTGACTGGGGAACCATAGCCACCTATGGATTTGTATCTGTAGTTTTGATATACAAAATTAACACATTAAGGATTCCTCTTAGTTTCATATCTATAGTACTACATAGAGTCAATAAATTAAGGCAATGGATACATTGTATAATGACCTAAAATGGATAAATTCAGAGGTGGCATTTATAGGTTCTGACCAGTTCTGGAGAACTGGTAGCAGAAATTTTGAGTAGTTCAGAGAACCGGCAAATAGCCCCTCTGACTGGCCCCACCCCCAACTATTCTCTACCTCCCAGGTCCCAGCTGATTGGCTGGGTCTTCTCTTGTTGCCCTGCACAGGAGAATGGAGCTAGAAAGCAGGTTAGTGGGGTGGGGAGAGAATGGGGATTTTACAGTATCCTTCCCCTGGAGTGGGGTGGAATGGAGATTTTGCAGCATCCTTCCCCTGCCATGCCCACCAAGCCACACCACACCCACCAAGCCACGCCCACCAAGCCACGCCCACAGAACCAGTAGTAAAAATTTTTGAACCCCACCACTGTATAAATTGCACAAAGAACTAAAGAAAAAAAAGCTGTGAGTAATTGCTATTTGGCCCTTTCTTCCTCAGGATTATAATCTATTAGCACCACCCTCCAGGCTACAGTAGGGAGATTAACAAGACACGTGGGTCTGGTTCCATGCAATGGTTGGCTTCTCTGTCTGATATATCTCTTCACCAGGACATGGTGGTGAAGTTAATGATTTCCCGAACTTAATAAAAGTTGGTACCTGATGTCCTTACAATACTTTGCTTCCTCTTCTTCTCCTCTTCATACACAACCTTCCTTCCTTCCCTTTCTTCCTTTTCTTTTTTCTTTCATTTCCCTTTTCTTTTTATTTTACTTTCTATTTTTTCCTTTTCTCTTTTTTTCCTTTCCTTTTTCCTTCCATCCTTTCTTTCTCTCTCTCTCATTGTTAGGTAACAGGCCATCTAGCAAATTCTAAAGACATTGGAGAATGCTGTTGCTGGAAAATAAATCGTGGTGCTGAGGGTCACATATTTTGCTAAGCCATCATTGCATAAGCGGCCGTTCCTTCATACATCACACTATTTCCTATTTGGAGTAAGCAACACCATGCAGAATGCAGAAAAAGGAATGTGAAATGGTAAATTAAAAAAACTGAAGATATGAGATGAGAAAAAGAAATAAATGTAGCTAAATAAAAAGTTTTTTTTATTTTTATCCAACTATTTTTTTCATATACAACTCAAAGTGGCAAGCATACTAATACTCTTTGCACCTGCTATTTTCCCCACAAAAAAAAACCTATGAAGTGCGTTGAACTGAGAGAAAGTGACTGGCCCAAGGTCACCCAGCTGTCTTCATGCCTAAAGTGAGATTAGAACTCACAGTCTCCTGTTTCTAGGCCAGCACCTTCAACCACTTCACCACTATAAATTTCTAGCATTCATTTCCAATCCACTCTTCAACATATCTCTCTCATTCCCTACAAATCTCTACAATGTTTGTTCCCGTATTCCCTCACTACAATTTCACCCAAATTATTGTATCATTAAAAAGAAAAATTTGATTTACTTTGATGGAAACTTCTTGTTCAGACCTATTCATCATTTCAATAACAATTTTCATCAACATTATGCATTTCCTCTGCCGCTAAGCTGTTCTTTTCCCTCTGTACTGTAAACATTATGCAGTATCTTTGTCTCATTCATATTTTCTACAGTCATCCTTCTCTTAAATGCACTTTTTTTCATCCAAAGCCGAAAAATTAGAATATCGTGCAAAAATTCATTTATTTCTGTAATGCAACTTAAAAGGTGAAACTAATATATGACATAGACTCATCACATGCAAAGCAAGAGAGTGCAAGCCTTGATTTGTTATAATTGTGATGATGATGGCTTACAGCTCATGAAAACCCCAAATCCACAATCTCAGAAAATTAGAACATTACATGCAATCAATAAAACAAGGATTGTACAGAGAACAATATCGGACCTCTGAAAAGTATAAGCATGCATATGTACTCAGTACTTGGTTTGGGCCCCTTTTGCAGCAATTGCTGCCTCAGTGAGGTGTGGCATGCCCCATAGATTCTCTATGGGGTACAGGTCAGGCAAGTTTGCTGGCCAATCAAGCACAGTAATCCCACAGTCATTGAACCAGGTTTTGGTGCTTTTGGCAGTGTGGGCAGGTTCCAAGTCCTGCTGGAAAATGAAGTCAGCATCCCCATAAAGCTCATCTGCAAAAGGAAGCATGAAGTGCTCCAAAATCTCCTGGTAGATGGCTGTGTTGACCCTGGACTTAAGGAAGCACAGTGGACCAACACCAGCAGATGACATGGCTCCCCAAATCAACACAGACTGTGGAAACTTCATACTGGACTTCAAGCATCTTGCAGTTTGGGCCTCTCCATTCTTTCTCCAGATTCTAGGTACTAGGTTTCCAAATGAGATGCAAAAGTTGCTCTCATCCGAAAAGAGGACTTTGGACCACTGAGCAACAGACCACTTCTGTTTTTCTTTAGCCCAGGTAAGACGCTTCTGACATTGTTTGTTGTTCAGGAGAGGCTTGAAAAGAGGAATACAACATTTGAAGTTCATGTCCAGGATCCGTCTGTGTATGGTGGCTCTTGATGCACTGACTCCAGCCTCAGTCCACTCCTTGTGAAAGTCCCCAACACTTTTGAATGGCCTTTTCCTGACAATCCTCTCCAGGCCGCGGTCATCCCTGCTGCTTGTGCACCTTTTTCTTCCACACTTTTCCCTTCCACATAACTTTCTGTTAATGTGCTTTGATACAGCACTTTGGGAACATCCAACTTCTTTTGCAATTACCTTTTGAGGCTTTCCATCCTTATGGAGGGTGACAATGATGGTTTTCTGCACAACTGTCAGGTCAGCACTCTTTCCCATGATTGTGATTCCTACTGAACCTGACTGAGAGACCATTTAAAGGCTCAGGAACCCTTTGCAGGTATTATGGCTTAATTAGCTAATTAAAGTGGGACACTTTGAGCCTAGAATATTGAACCTTTTCACAATATTCTAATTTTCTGAGATTGTGGATTTGGGGTTTTCATGAGCTGTAAGCCATCATCAATGATGGCAAATCATGGCTTGAACTATCTTACTTTGCATGCAATGAGTCTATATCATATATTAGATTCACCTTTTAAGTTGCATTACTGAAATAAATGAACTTTTGCACGATATTCTAATTTTTCAAGTTTCACCTGTATAAGGTAATTCTTTCATTAATTCTCAAAATCTTTAATTTCAAAAAGTCAAACCTTTAGATGTATATTCACCTCTATTTCTTCCATTATCACCATTCATAACACAAAGTGTCCCCTACCTATAGATTTCTATTTCATATGCACCTGCTATAACTCAAATAACATTAAATAATACTTTAAATACACATTTTTATCTTTTCTGTTCAGAATTGAATCTGCATTTCACCTTGCTGCATGTATTCATTAACTGTATCGCAGAAGATCAGAGCACCTTCATTTACCTCAGACATCTCCTTCCCCTTTGTCTTAGTTTCACACAACATTCTCTCTCTCTCTCTCTCTCTCTCTCTCCCTTTCATTTTGTTAATCTGTGCTCTTTAGCCTTCTTATATTCCGATGTACAATCATACATACTGACGTTATGGACCAGACAGAATCATAATTATTGTCTTCCATTATCCATTATGATCTTCACATAAGGAAGATATAGATTTACCAGTCTTAACCGTACCCTAAGGGGACTTGGTGGCACGGGGGTTAAAGAAGCTGGCCTTGTGATAGCCCAAGTTCGAGATCCGAGCTTATGTGGTTCTCACATAAGATAATGTATTGCAATATGGGACTTTTGGAGACATGTGGATGAAACAATGATTAAACAATGGTCAGATAACAATAGCTGTGTCTGCAGAAGGAAGGGAGCGTGGCAAATATCTCAGAAGAAACTCTTCCTAGTGTCTTGGATGTATTTTCAGACTTGTAAGATTCTGTTAACCTATCCCAGCAATAAAATTAGAACTAGTACTTCTGGGAATGCTTCTTACCTAGACTACCTCATAGAGCTGACAGATGCTATGAATGATCTACTGTACATCAGCCTCCATACCTGGGCCCTCCAAATGAATAACAGAATAACAGAGTTGGAAGGGACCTTGGAGGTCTTCTAGTCCAACCTCCTGCTCAAGCAGGAAGCTCCATACCACTTCAGGCAAATGGTTGTCCAATCTTTTCTTTAAAAACCTCAACTTCTGGAGGCAGGTCGTTTCACTGATTAATTGTTACAGCTGTCAAGAAATTTCTCCTTCGTTCTAGGTTGGTTCTCTCCTTGGTTAATTTATATCCATTGCTTCTTGTCCTGCCTTCAGGTGCTTTGGAGAATAGGTTGACACCTCTTCTTTGTGGCAGACCCTTAGATATTGGAACACTACTATCATGTGATTAACAGAGACATGCCCAATTCCTGTAACCATTCTTCATATGTTTTAGTCTCTAAGCATCTTTGTTGCTATTCTCTGTACTCTTCCTAGAGTCTCAACATCCTTTTTCATACCTTGGAGACCAAAACCAGATGCAATATTCCAAGTGTGGTCTTAAAAAAGCATTATAAAGTGGTATTGTGTGACTACATGATTTGTGATCATGCTGGTTGGGAATTCTGGTGATTGTAATTCAACAGAGAGATAAGGGAAACCAGTCTCTCTGTTTGTCACTGTCAATAGACCTCACTGTCCTTTTGCTCTATAACTGTGATGGCGAACCTATGGCATGTGTGCCACAAGTGGCACGCAGAGCCATTTGTGCTGTCACACGAGCCGCAGGCAAGCTTATCTCACTGCACATGCACACACCTCACATCTGATTTTTTTTTCAGTTGGTTTGAGACCTTTTTTGGCCTCCCAGAGGCTTGGAAAAAGCCTCTGCAAGGCTTTTCAGGCCAAATTATAGGCCCTGTTGAGGTAATTCCCCATTAGGATAATGAGCGCATACAGGGAGACGTATTTGAGAGTAGTGTTTGAATAATACACACACAGCACACAGATACACTGTACAGTATATGTAGGGTTTTTTTTACTTTCAATAAAGGTTTAAGCAAAGTTCAAAGATAAGCAGTCCAAAGTCATTCACAGGTAAAATCAGTCAGTTTTCAGTCCAGGGATAATCCAATAATAAAGTCCAGTGTCGAAAACAGTTCAGTATCAGACTTACATCAAATCCAGGAATAGCAATCAATTAGGAGGAACGGCAATACTCTCCAACAGAAGGAAACAGAGAGACTCACTGAGACTTTGTCTGAGACTAAGACAACCCAGGTTTCTGGCTCCATCTTATGGCCATTTGAGAAACCACACCCAATTACACCTCCAGGACTCTCTTAAAGATACAGTATTAAAATGTCTATCCTGGTTTATATATTTCCAACCCAAATAGCTATTAGGTGACTTATATTCCTAACAGGCCCGTTTTGTCCCTTCTTGTAATACCAGAAGTGATGAAACCGGGCCTATAATTCATCCTGAAAAGCCTTGCAGAGGCTTTTTCCAAGCCTCTGGGAGGCTGAAAAAGGCCTCAAACCAGCCAAAAAATCAGCTGTGAGTGCAATGCAGGTAATGGGGGGGGATTGCATGCACACGTGCAGGGGGCATGTGGGGGGGCACACATTGCATTCTAGGTGCTGGTACGTAGTGCTGGCGCACGCGCAATTTTTAGCACAGGAGCCCCAAAAGGTTAGCCACCATTGCTCTATAAGTTATTCCACCGAAAATATGGGTGGGAAACAAGAGGAGGCTGTTCTTCTTTTCTAATCCTGTTTTATTCCCTCATTTGATGAATGCATGTGAACATGGAATGACGGCAAAGAAAAATATGGCTACAGTGAAAGAAATCAGGAATGGGGGCCCTTACCAAGATTCAGTTCTTGACAAATGACTCGTCATGCTGACCCCCATCCCATTTCTTTCCACCCCATGGATTTCTCAGAGTGGAAAGAGTTTTCCTGGCAGAAAAAGAAAAAGATGCATGTTTGCAAGGGGCTGTTCTCCAGATGTGGACCTTCCATAGTTGAGTTTAGACAGTCAGCTGCTAAGGCTTTAACAGAGATTCTGCTTGGAATCCTGGAACATAATAATAAAAAGCAGACAAGCAGAAGTAGTAAATTAGTACCTTCCAGCTAAGTGAGAAGCCTTGCAGTCTCTCCTTAATTCAGCTCTGTCTGCTAGAGAAAAAACAAATCAATTCTGCCTTCATTTGCTCTTCTTTAAGCTCCCCGAAGGAATTACAGCTCATGCATACACAAGTGCAAAAGTCTTGTGTTGCAGAAAGTTAAATCACAGAATGGAATAATTTCAGGTTTATTCCCAGGCACCAGTTCAATAGTATTTAACATTCAAATGCCAAAGAAAGTTCTGCTGCTCAGGGGAGGCTAACAATTTTATTGTGGTGTGAGCGTTTGTAAACTCATGTCCAGTCTGTCATGTGAACAAAATCATATCCAAAATTGGCAGGTGTAATATATAAAGAGGAACAGTGAAACAAACAAAAGGGAACTGAAGAGCTATGGAATAGAAAGTTCCACAATATTCATATCACATTTCCATGCAGTTTATTGTTTAAAAAAAATCTATACTACAGTATGTTTCTCAACATTTTAAGTTGTTCATTATAGAACAACCTACTGCTTTTAGGGACCATGAAATTTCCAAGCTTTGATTCTCAGAGAAGTAAACTTTTGCAAGCAATAATATCTATACTCTCCACAGTTAGGGCTATTGGTAGAAGCTTCATCTGGGTGCCTACAAATAGTCAGTAGATACCATAATCCAATTTGAACTCAAACTGAGTTAACAACTTGCTAACTAGCACTCCTTGAATGTTAACCATATTGTCTTTATCCCCAAAACATTTTACAGTGTAATAGTGTAAAGTTGACGGTTAGTTTCATCTTCATTGTTGTTGGGACAGACAATGTTAGTGTTATGTCCCTGGAACTTAAAGAAGTTCCCACCCAGGTCCGTCCGTGCTGCGGGGGCGGTTGCCCTCTCTCTCATTGGTTGGTTCTCCCCAGCAGCCAGCTATAAAAGCAGGCTGCGGGGTCCAACCAGTTGCTGATCGCTGCGAGCCAGTTCCAGGCTTGGCAAGCACGTTCAGTCCTTTATTATTCTAATAAAGTATTTGTTGCATCCATGCCCTGGTTCAGCCTCTCATTACCCGAACTTAACAGTTAGCATGACTACAATCACTATAAGATTCAAAGCTTAAATAGAGATGTCCTTCCTTCCTTCCTCCCTCCCTCCCTCCCTCCCACTCTTCTTTCCTTCTTTCTTTCCTCCCTCCCTCCCTCCCTCCCTTTCCTTCCTTCCTTTCCTGATGACTTCACCATTTATTTTGCTTGTGGGAAACACGCAGGGAGAAAGCCAGCCGGAAGTTGCAAGTTGAAAGCCAGCAGGCAGGTATGTGGCTGCTGCCAGGTGAGGGAGAGAGGAAGGAGAAGCATAGGGGACTGGGTCAGGAATGGTACATTGGGGTACATGAGAGGTGCCACATGGGTTAGGAAGGATGTGGGGGGGGGGTGTCACAGATGCCATGCAGGTGAGGAAAGACATAAATAAAATGTGGAGATGACCAAAAGATGATGACCACTTGATGGAAACAAAAGAAATACAGGAAACGCAAACTATCATTTATGGCCATCCAGATTTTTGCAGCCCAAGTCCAGTAGGCCTAACCTTTACTGACAGAGAGTATTGTTCAGCCTTGTTTATATGGTGCAGGCTACAAATAGAACCAGGAAGGCGGGGCGGTGGGATGGCCTCTCCAAGAAATTGCTGCAATAGTGATGATGGGGTGTTTTGTCTTTTCCTTGCTTATTTACAGTAACATAGTTGGCATAGTAATATCTCTCTGCCCTTCTCCCTCACTCACCCCCTAAGAATGTCTTAATGTTGTAAGCTGCTCATAGACACCTGTGTGTCAGTCGGGCAGTCAAATAAATTTAATTAAAACAATCAATAAATCAGAACCAAGCAATGGGTTCCTTTTGGCAGAATGGATAAAATTGCCAAAAGAAAATAGGGAAGGCAAGTGATGTAAATTCTCCCTTGAGTAATGCTTCCGAGCACAAATTAATAGCTGCTGAAGATGGCAATGGTGACAGTCACTGTAGGGCTGCTAAAAATAGGGCATTTTTCCATCTGTACCTATTTTGTGTTTCATTGCAACTATCATTCCTAAGGTTTTTTTCTCCTCTATCTTCAAATGGATGGATAGCATATAACTGTAAAGTTAAGATACCGCTTCACGCTTCTCTGATGAAGAGGGCCGTAGTCCACAACTATCAAAAACAGGGTGGTTTTTAGGGTGCCACTAGATATCCTAGTCTGACAATTCACTTACTTGATTAAATCACATTCTTGGAAGAAAGAAAAGAGACTGACCAGCAGCAAAGTGCATCAGTGGTGATTCAAAAAATTTTATTACCAGTTCTATGGGTGTGGCTTGGTGGGTGTGGAAGGGGAAGGATATTGTAAAATCCCCATTTCCTCCCCAAGCCACTATCCTGCTTTCCAGTTCCATTCTCCTGTGCAGGGCAACAAAAGAAGACCCAGCCGATCAGCTGGGACTTGGGAGGCAGAGAATTAGAGGTGGTATTTGCTGGTTCTCCAAACCACTCAAAATTTCCACTACTGGTTCTCCAGAACTGGTCAGAACCTGCTGAATACCCACGTCTGAAGTGGATGGAGTCATGTGGCAAAGGGCACAAGGTAGGAGCCTGACAGATGTGGTTAGGACAAATCATTATGGAGAAAATCAATGTGGTCACTAGAAGCCTGAAATGATTTGATGACAATTACGAAAATGACTTAATCAATTGACCAAATCAGATTCCACACAGTTTGCAAATCAGGGGGTGTTATTAGAGAGAAGAAGGGAAAAAAGCAGAGACGGAATGATCTATTCAGATCATACTGTATAGAGCCCAGAGCTTTTTTAATTATTTTGAAATAATATTGCTTATGAATTTACAATTGTTTGTGTAGTCTGTAAACTGCTTTGGAAGGTTTGCTGCCCTGAAAGGAGGGTTATAAATAGTTGTAATTAATACATGATATATCATAATAAATTATACTTTTCGATTTGCAGTGGAAAGTATACAATTGGTCACACACAGAATACCTGAGATTAATACATAGAACATAAAGGAGTTTCATTTCAGAAATAGAATGGATGCTTTCCACAATTAAAGCTAAAGATTTTAAGGGAATATGGAGCTGCACAACAGCAGTTTTTTATTCCAGTTGCCAGTTTATAAAACCAAAACAGATGTATAATTCTGATATCAGTGCTATTTTTATCCAGGCTCCTGCCACTCATGGCGATTCCAGCTAGTCTTATTCATCTGGTCTATTTAGATAGCCAGCTACAGCAGCAAGTGAGAAAAATAAAAGCTCCAGAAATAAATTAAACTTTTTGCAGTCCAGGCAATTCCTTTTAAATCATCCAAAAGTGAAAGCTGAAGAAATTAAATATATTATTAAAGAGAGATGTTCTGTCTTGTTTTGTAAGGGCCATTAATAGCTATTATTTTACTATGAATGTACTGTGCGTTTGGTCTAGTTATTTTTTACTAACTTCTCAATCAAACAACTCCCATGGGTTTCCTAGTGCCTTCTTTCAGCAATATATGTAGCTTATGGTGAAAAAGAGACCACCAATATTCAGTAATCAAGTTTAATGAATGCCTCATGCACATCTCATTATAGATCTTGCAAATAACTTGAACCACACTTAGAGATATACTTTTCAACTTATTACTCAAATTTTACTACATACTCTTTTTTTCTTGCATGATTTTGCAATACTCTTTTATAGGGCTATATTTGATAGATCATCATTTTACACATCTGGATGAAAGCATGTTTCATTAAAGATAAAGTCAAAGTCAAAAAA